TCTCCCCTGCCAACCTGATCTCCCTAACTGCTCTCCCTGGCTGACCTGACCACCCCTAACTGCCTCTGCCCCGGCCCCGGCCCCGCCACCATGGCTTTGTCCAGAAGGACATCCGGAAGGTCATCCGGAAGATATCCAGCCTAATTAGCATATTGCCCTTTTATTAGTATAGATAATGTCTATTCGTGGGGTTGTGCACCTGAAACTAATTTAATATTGTACATCAATTGTAATTTAAAATTTATTTTTTTTTAAAAAAAGGAATACAAAATCTGCAAAACTATGAAGATGGTAAAAAGATCAGTGGTTAGCAGGGGTTATGGGGGAGGGAGGGATAAGTAGGCAGAGCCCAGGATTTTAGGGTAGTGAAACTTACTATAATGGTAAATGGTAATGGTTAATGGTAAATATGTAGCATTATACATTTGTCCAAACCCATAAAATGTACAACACCAAGAGTGAACTCTGATGTAAACTAAGTGATAACAATGTGCTAATATAAATGCATCAGTTGCAACAAATGTAGCACTCTGGTGAAGGATGTTGATAGTGAGAGAGACTGTGTGTCAGGAGATGAATAGGAACTCTTTACTTTCCACTTGATTTTGTTGTAAATCTAAAACTACTCCAAAAAAAAAAGTCAATAAAAAAAAGGCCGGGGGGTGGGGGGGGGGGGACACCACACCCAAACATCCAGAGAGAAAAAACAAATAACGAACAAAAAAACAATAATCACACTGGCAGCAAACATCTCAAAACAAAACAACAAATTTTTAAAAATTAAAGAAATACACATAACAAGAAATTTAACGTTAGTTATTGCTGGGTATGGTCATGCCCTATTCCCTTGTTCCCCTCTGTCTGTTTGCTTGCATTAAATGCATGGCAGCTTTATTTTGTAAGAAGGGATAGGCCAATGTGATGGAAGGGAGGAGAAAAGAAGTTTATTGAAGGAGGGAAGGGTATTTGGTTTTTAATAGTGATATTGGCCCCGGGAGGGAAGGGATCTCGAAAGGCCGTTGGTCTATTGGCATTTTAGGGGGGTAAGATAATTCCCACATCAGTCTCTATGGGGCAGGGGACTACTGCAGACACTTTCAATGATGGTACCCATATGGAGAGGCGCTTAGAAGCTCTAAAGTGTACTTAGATACATTATCTCATTTAGTCTCTGAGAGAAGTCATTCTCTAACTCTTTCAGGCAATGCCAACCACAACACTTCTAGATCTCTTGGTTAATTTTGTACTTCCTGATATTTGTTGGTTGAAATTCTGCAGGCTCCCTCTGATTCCAATGTTTCTTTTTGCTTATGCCCTGAGAAAGGCAGGCTAAGGTTTGGAACATTTTTATCTCCAGACTGGACCTTGCCCAGGAATCCAGACTGCTAACTGAATATTGCCACTGGAATGCTATCTAAGCACCTCAAACTTAATATGTCCAAAAATCAAGCTCTTGATTTAGTTCTTTCAACGTGCTTGTCTTGTAGCCTTTCCTATCTCAGAAAATAGCAACACCACCCTTCTAGATGCTTAGGCCCAAATCCTTAAAGCGTCTTTCTCTTCTTCTTCACATCTCATGTCCAATCCATCAGGGAATCCTATTGGTTCCACCTTTCGAAATATATCCAGCATCCAATCACTGATCATCTCCATTACTACCATACTGCACCAAATACCATCATCTCTCGCTTGGATTACTGCAATAGCCTCCTTAACAACCAGGCTGCGGGAATTCAATACATAATTATTGAATGAATAAATGAAATAATGCGCAGGCATGAGTTATATTGGCTCTTTGGGGGCTCATAGTTAAACTTGACACCCCTCGCTATATTTTGGGGAGAGAGTGGGGAGAAGCAGTATTTAAACAGTAAGTACTATGGGCCTGCAGAGGAGACAACAGGAAGGAAAGCTGAAGCAAATATGAAAAATACAGGAGACTTGCAGCAGCCTGTCCTATCTGTCATAGTATGCCGGAAGCCGGTCCACCCTTGCTGCTTGACACAGTCGCTGCAGGGAAGAAACATCTGCACAGCTTATGTTTCAAGGGACCTGGTATATATGGCATATGGTTTGCTCCCCCTGTTAGTGCTATGTGTTTTAAACAGGACCATCTCCCCAAGAAAGGTTGTTTCCCCAGGTAGGGATTTTTCCCTGAAGTTAGCGAGGGAATAAAACCCCTTAACTAAGTGCCAGGCGGGTAGTTAATCACTTTAACTACGAACAATCACCCTTAAGCTACATAATCTTTACTCCCTGGAATGGAGATAAGAAACGCCCTAACCTTTGGAATAGAAATTGACAGGATTAAAATCAACTGGTATAAATACTGATGTAACAAGACAATAAAAGACATTTCTGGGAGGTATGTTCTCCAGGCAGCCACCCGGTGCCCCGCTCCCGCCGCCGGGCCTCCCGGGCCAGGCCTCGCTTCTTCAGGTTGCGCCAGGCGCTCCCAGATCTTCTCCGAGTACCTTGGTGGATGAGTTGGAGTCATCTTTCGAGGCTTGCTTTGCTTCTCTGGTGAGTCAGGACTATGTCGATGGCACGGATCAGGAGGAAATTCGAACTGGTGTTGATCAGTGTATCCAGAAATTTCTGGATATTGCAAGACAAACAGAATGTTTTTTTCTACAAAAAAGATTGCAGTTATCTGTCCAGAAGCCAGAGCAGGTTATCAAAGAGGATGTCTCGGAACTGCGGAACGAGCTGCAGCGGAAAGACGCCCTGGTCCAGAAGCACCTGACCAAGCTACGGCATTGGCAGCAGGTGCTGGAGGACATCAACGGGCAGCACAAGAAGCCCGCCGACATCCCGCGGGGCTCCCTGGCCTACCTTGAGCAGGCGTCTGCCAACATCCCCGCGCCTATGAAGCAGAACTGAGGAAAACTTGGCTGGAGATCCTGGCTAGAGATCCTGGCTAGGCTGCTGATCAACTGAACGCTGTCCCTGTGTCATTCCTTCTTCGCCGACTCCGTCCACACCTTTGGGGACCCCTGGACCTGCTGGGGTTGGACCCCAACAGAAGGGTGTTTGCTGGTTTCTTTCTGAAAGAGCTGACTTTAATACCAGTCTTTGCAGGTGACGCTCATCATGATCTCCCCTACTCAAATTGATCACTGGGCTTGGTTGCAAAGAGCAATTCAGAAAGGATATTCAAGTAAAATCTGCAGACGTCTCGTGATTATTTCTGGTCTTACGGTTTTCCTCGTTCATAACCTGATGGCCATTTATGACAGATACTGGGAGTCACAAGATGTCACCACGATCCAGCTAGAATTGATCCAACTAGAATTGCTGAGGTATCTCATTAACGAGGATCAAATCGATGCCTCACAAAAGGCAAAATGGAAGTACGCTAAGTCAGGATGATCTGAAATTAAACTTGGGATGCCTTTGGGCCTTTTAAAAGTCTCTTGAGCTTTTTTAAATAGAAATAAATTTGGGTTTCACACACACACACACACACACAAATAAAAATAAAATAAAATGACAAAGTCAATTTGGCTCTAAGAACTGAGCTGATCTGTAAAAAAAATAAATAAATAAAAAGAAAAAGAAAAGAAAAGAAAAATACAGGAGAGAAGAGTTGGTGGAATTAGGACTCTGTGTTGACATGGGAATCAGCAAAGGAACTCTGGGTGACTGAGTGCCTTGTCCCTCTGTTGGGATTGCCCATCCTTTGTCCACTACCCTGCTCCCCTCTGTTGATCAGTCCAACTCAGGGTCCTGTAAGGGATCTCCAAGAAGACTGGACAGGTGAATGAATGATCCTTGCTGGAGACCAGGTGAAGAGAGCAGTTTCCTTGTGAGCTTTGGGGGTGCATCTGATGGGGAAAATGAGACATTTTGGGGGGCTAGCAATCTGAATCTAGTCACTGCCCCTTTAACTGTCTGGTCCTGCAAGACCCGTTTATAAACCTTCCCCAGATGAAGTTATCAGTGCTGGCGCCAGGCCAGGCCTTTAGATGAGGTCTCAAAGCCCCAGCACATAGGGCTCTTTAAGAACTTGCAAAGGGGACTGGAAAACCCCATATTTGGGAGACAAAGGACTGAAAAAGATATAAAAAGGGAAAACTTCCTCCAGGTTGTTGCTCAGAATTTGAAAGACGTTTTTCTCTGGGCCCGCGCGTAATAATAATAAAATGTAACTCCATTTCTCTAAGCGTTGCTTGGATTTTCTCCCGTCTTCTGTAACACATCCTGCAGAGGGAGGGTTTTGGGGGATTGGGCAAGCTCCTTGAACTGGTGCTGGAAAATAAAGGTAAGAAGGTGTGGCCTGGCCTAGGCTCCCTTCCTCTCCTCTTGGGCCACACCATCTCCCTCTTTCTCCCTTTCCTCATTGGCAATCCGGGAGTTGCTTCCAACAGCCCAGGTCTGCCTGCTATGAAAGTCCTTAGAGAAGTTCACAGCTCTTCCCCCAACACATTTCAGCCATTCTTTCAGTGAGCACCCAAGGCCTGGTTCCTTCCTCGTGGTCACACAGGGACTCTCCTCCAGACTGGCTTATAAAGTATGGTTTGGGGGAAGTGCTTGGCTGGGTCCCCTAGTGTTGAGTTCAATTTCCTCCTTTGGGTGTGTTTTAGCTTCCAACTGGGATCTTTGCCATAGTAATTGTAACAACCACAGTCTGCATGCAGACTCTTAAAGCTATACAGGCAAAGAAATAGAAAGGTCTTCTTAAGCCACGCAGCTATTAAAATCCCCACTCCTACCAGACCCAGACGCTCTGTACAGCCTGCTAAGTGCTTAGTGAGAACTATTTCATCAGCCTGAATTCTTTCTATAACCACATAGAAATTGTATATCCCAAGGGAATGGGATGTTTTCCCCACCCCCATCCTGCTCCTCCCCAAGCCTTCCCCATCCAGCCAGTAGCACTGTTATTCACCTAGCTGTTTGAGAGAAAAACCTAGAAGTTTGCCTTTATTTTTCTTTATCCTTAACCCCTCATTCTATCTATCGGCAAGGCCTGTTGACTCTATACAACGCCCAGAATCTATCTTCTTTTTTTTTCACCACTTTGTGACCATCGGGTTCATCGCAGACAACCGCAGTGGTCTGCTAACTGGTCTCCCTGCTTCCACTCATGTCCTGCTCCAGATCACTCTCCTCACAGCAGCCAGAGCCATCTTTGAAGGACAGGCCATAGCCCCTGCTCATATTCCTCCAAAGGCTCCCACTGAACTTTTGATGCATTTCAAACTGCTGATCATGGTGCAGGAGGCTCTGCGTATGTGGCTACAGCCTTTCTCTGAAGTCACATGACTTACTGCTTCCCCCTTCAGCCGCGTGGCCTTGTTGGTTCATTCAGTGTGCCAAGCTGTTCCTGCCATAGAGCCTGGGACTGTTGCTGGCAATGCTTAAGATGCTGTGAAGATTTCCTTGTGGCTGGCTCCTGGGTATTTAGGCCTCAGCTCAGTACTTTGTTTCCTAATAAAACCTTCCAAAGTTCAGTGGCTCCAAAACAGCAGTCATCTGTTTTGCTTATGTATCTGTAATGTGAGCAGGGTTTGATGGGGAAGATGCATTTTTGCTCCATGCAGCATCAACTGGGGCAAATCCACCAAGAACTGAGGATCTGCTCAACTCCCACGGCTGGTAATGCTGGTGCCGAGAGTCATTTATGAGCAACGCCAGGGCTGAAGCCTGAGAGCCTTGGTTGTTCATGAAGCTGCGTTTCTAGGAAAAGGCCCCCAAAGACCCAGGTGTAAGCTTTATTGTCTTTCATGACCTACCCTCAGAAGTCACAAAGCATCACTTCTGTTGTACTTCTTTAGTTGAGCAAGTCACAAGTCTCAAGAACAGAGACTCTACTACTTGAATGGGGAGTGGCAGGGTTCTGCAACAGCACACTAAAATGGAAATATTGCTTTTCTGGACAATTCTGGGTAATACTATCTGCCATAGCTTCCTCTTCAATGCGACCATCACTGACTGTCCCATATCAATCAGCTCCTTCTTCTCACCCCAAATAGTAATTCTATACCATTTCAGCCTCTGGATCCTTCATAGCACCTGTCACTAACTTATCTTGTCCATTTATTTATTTGCTCACTTGCAACCTTATTCAAAAACTAGAGGCCCAGTGCACGAGATTCATGCATTGAGGGGTGGGACCCTCAGCCCAGCCTGCGCCCTCTTGCAGTCCGGGAGTCCTTGGGGGATATCCAACTGACGGCTTAGGCCCACTCCCAAGCCGTCAGTCAGACAGCCTTAGCGCTGCTGTGGAGGCGGGAGAGGCTCCCGCTACCGCTGCACTCGCCAGCCATGAGCCGGCTTCTGGCTGAGAGCACTGACCACCAGGGGGCAGCTCCTGCGTTGAGCGTCTGCCCCCTGGTGATCAGTGCGCATCATAGCAACTGGTCATCTGCTGTTCAGGTGATTTACATATTACGCTTTTATTATATAGGATATAAGCCCCCTTGAGAGCAGGAGCCTTGCATGAAGGGAGGCCATGTGGGAGGCTGATGCACTAAGGTCTGCCAGTTGCAGTCAGAGAGATGATTGCTATTTAAAGATATGTAAGGGTGGAGACAATGGTATTTGGTGATTGACTGGCTGTGAGGCATGAGGGGAGAAAGGAAGACACTGGGTTGTTGGTCCACCTCAGACCAAGGAATAGCACGGACTAAGGGTGTGCATGGCTCAGGATTCTCTGGCCAAGGCCATGCTGAGACCTACACTAGTGGAGGGTAAATGGTGTTACATGTGTGATGAGACTGGCTAGATGCTCACCAAACACCATTCCTCTTTTTCCCAAGCTTCCAGCTGCATTTCCCAGCCTTCTTCAGTTAGGTAGGGGCCTGATGAAGTTATGGCCAAAGAAATGCAAGTGGAAGCTGATGTATACCACTTTCAGGGGTGGCCTATTAAAAGCCATCCTGCAAGATCCCGCACACTCCCTTCCCCTTCCTTACAGGTATGTTAGCGATGGCAGCATCGCAGACGAGAGAGGCATGGGAATCGCTATGTGAAATAAACTTTCCCTCCCAATCTTCTTAATTGCATGACACAGAATTTTTGAAGTCAAGTTGTAGACTGTTCCAACACTCAGGATTTGTCTCCATGTTTCTTCATATTATTGAACTTCTTCCTCTATTTTTGCATTTCATTTCCTGTAAACTGAAAGTCTAATCTATAGCTTGATTAGATTCAGGTTGACTTTCCTGGTAAGATAGATTTCAAAGGTGTTGTTGTACTTCACCTAACATCTTATCAGGCGGGGATGTCAATAGCAGGTTGGCCCATCAGTGATCTTACGGTTGAAGACTGAGTTCAGATGGTGGTTGCCAGATTCCTCCATTGTAAAGGCACTTTTGCAATTAGAATGTAAACCATGGGGTAAGCCTTGTAACACCCTGTTCCTAAACAACATTTCACCTAATTTTTTTTTTAATTTAAAAAATATGTTCTTATTGATTTTTGAGAGAGAGGAAGGGAGAGGGAGATAGAAAGAGAAAGAGAAAGATCGATAGAGAGAAACATCGATCAACTGCCTCCTACATACTCCTTACTGGGGATCAAGCCTACAACCCAGGCATGTACCTTGGCCAGGATTCAAACTGGTGACCAACTGAGCCACACAGGCCAGGGACCTAATGTTTTTAGCATCTATTGTGGTTCCTTCCCTCAATTATTTATATTTATTATTTTTCTAGCATTTATTGAGCAATTTACTATATATGGGGCACTCTTCGAAGGGCTTTACCTATATTTTCTCCTTTAATCATCACAATAACCCGATGAGATAATTTTGTTTTTGCTATTTGATGAGGAAACTGAGGCATAGAGAAGGTGTATTAGCTTTCTCTATGCATACAAGTTCTTTGGTTGCTCTCTTCCCACCCATCCCCTTTCGTCCCCCTGAGATTCATCAGTCT